AGTGTTGTCAACGTCGATGGGTTAAGATATAAGAAAGCATAAGAGTCAATGATGGTCTATGATATACTTCTGAGTATTGCATTTGATTGATGTAGAACGAAAAACAATAAAGATAGCAGCAGCAAAGATCACGTATATTCGAATGTCCGCAAACCAAGATGAACTGTTTTGGAAAATTACGTCAATCCAGTCGAACATTAGATTATTCAGTTCCTGATATACCAATGGTGACAGTAACCAACAGCTTAATGCGACGCAAAAGGATTTAAGGTGCTGGAACAATCAGCATTCATCTCTTTCTTTCTTGAATTGTTATTTTGTTTTTCTATTGATTTAGATGTTTGTTTATTTCTGCATATAGGCATCTAATATTTCGTTGTTATTCTTTTATTCCCAAGATCAAAATTTTGTAAAACAACACAAGTTCTCTATGTTTTAAAGGTATATTGATAACAGATCCGTACCGTTATAGTATAAAAAGAATTCCGTTTCAGTATCTTGTTGAAGAAAATGTGACAGAATGACTCTCAAGTGAGACGTTTACTACATTGAGTTTCTTTTGCGAAAGAGTTTGATCTTTTGAATTGGTAAGATATGGAGAGACAGAATAAAAACCAAGGTTAACCGAAGTGTGCAGCATCAGAGATCAGATAGAACTCAAGCTATTTCTACCACAGAGAACAGTATCAGCGCATTTTCACTAATTCTATAATGTTTGAATAAAGAAATTGTATCATTTTAAAATAATTTAATTTTCACGTTGAACTTTATTGTGCGTGTAGGTTTTGATAGCTTTCGGTCGTCTGATTGTATCTCCAATTAGCGTCTGGGATAATAGTAGTTAGCTATACCTCCCTCATTTTACACTTCACCGATATTTAGACTTAATTTCTGTGAGTTGGTTGTGTCTGCTGTTGTTTGTCTGTTTACTAAACTAAGCCGAACAAGTTAGTTTGGCACAAGGCCACAAATATAGGGCAACCAGTGAGGATTGAATAGAATAGACATGGTGTCGATTTAATTATACTGATGATAGTGGAGTTGAATACAATCATATAAATTATCATTGTGCATACATGTTGAATTGCTGTATTTTGTTTACAACAAATGGATTTGTTAAGACGTTTCATTACGAAGTAAGCATCAATCCGATCCATTCATAAAACAACATTTAAAAAAAGAAAAAAAAGGAAAATAAGAAGAATTAATGGAAGTTTTATTTGTATCATATATAAAAATAGTGAAAAGAGTGAAAAATAGCTTGAAAGATGACAAATTAAAAAAATATAGCTTCGAATTGGGTGAAATAACGCAATAGTTCATCAGTAGTTCTTCAGCCGGTAGGAGAATAATTTTCAAGATTAGTGAGAATATATTTTGCATTTCCAAATAAATTCACAGGTTGTAGAAATGACAGTCATCTTCTGAATGTAAACACTACAGAAATTTAAATATTCTAAAAATTAAAAAGTTTATATTATAGGTAGCGCCAAAGAAAAAAATAATTAAAAATCTTTCTTTATAGTTTTAATTCCAAGCTAATAGATTAAATTTAATATTTCTAATATGCAAAATACTTTGCTATATTTAAAAACGAATTTATACTGACTGGAATGAGTTATTTTATTTATTTATTTTATTTTATTTTTGAAACGGCTAAAAATGACTGATTTTAGCCATATTTACAGTTTTCTCAGCACAACGTAATTTTAATAAAAAATCTTTCAAAATTAAAATATACTTTTTCTGAAACTTTATGTGAAGATGATTTGCTGATTTAATTAGTCGGATTTGAGACAAATATAACGTGAGCGCTTTTTCATATCATTTTTTACTACCTAATAATCTTAAAAATTTAGGAAAATACTCTAAGTAATCTAATGTTTTATTGAATTCTAGAATTGAATTTACTATTGTTACCGCTCTTATTTTATGATAATGTCGTGCATAGACGTCCGTAAAAAAAATAAGCATGTTTATGCACATAAAAAAAAATTAGAATTCTTTTTAAAATACTGGGAGTATTGTATTAAACTGAATCGTATTAAACTTTTCCATTCATGATTAGTAAATATAATTTTTACTTCATAACAATATCACCTAACCGCTACAAATTAATGCAGATTCTAATTAAAATATTCAAAAATGAAAACAATTCTTGTAATGAATTCATTATACATCGATTTTTTTCTTAAGACAATAGTATCCATAATATATCTTCATAAAACCAATTAAAATTTATATTCATAAAAAAAATTTTCTTAATACATTGGTATTCATAATATACTCAAAAAATCAATTAAAATCTTTTCTAATTAAATAATGTCTTAGTTTTATTGTATTTTACGATTCAGAGCAGTTTTTCTATAACTGGGAGTACTGTTTTACGAAAAAAGTTGTTGATATAAATTTTCCTGTGACTTCTGCTTATAATTAATAAGACCCACAAAAATGAATTTCCCGAAATTTCATAAAATTAAATGTGGGAGTTATCAAAAAAATATTTTCACCGAAATTTTCTAACAAAAAAAAACATTTCTAAAATAATTTAATCCATCTGTGAAGAAATGCTGAAAGTTTCATTAAAACCCGATAATTATTTGATTTTTCCAAGAATTTCCGAATCACTGTTTTTCACCACAAATAAGACGCTAAAATTTTCTATACTAATTTATGGTCAGCCGCTGACGTAAGAAAAAATTTTACCAAAATTTTGAAGGTTCTAAAAAGCATTAAAAAATGTAATTTAATTATCAAAAAATTATTTTTGATTTTTTAACAGAAACTTTGACGATAAAACTTTGTTTTTATTAAGTTTGACGCATTTTTCATTATACATGCCCATTTGTTAGTGAATCTTTGGAGGTATCTATATACAAGGTGCATCGAAACTAGGTAAAATGTCCATATAAACATATGTCCAAAAGGCCATCGCTGTACCTCAACACAGTAACTCATAAATGTCCCCCGCTTGCTTCTATACACGCATGCACCCGTCAGATCATTGACTGGCGGACACTTTCAAATACTCCCACCTTTCGATTGGTTTTACATTGATGAAGAGTCTCTGTATTATTAATGTCTACTGCATAAACCAATTGTTTCAGTTGGCCTCACAGATAAAAATCAAAAGGGTTCAAGTCGGGGACTTGCAGGCCATGGAACCAGTCCTCCCCTAACTTATCTATCTTTCATGGTAGATTTCAGCCAGTGCATCGAAAAAAATGTGACTAAAATGTTCTGGAACCCCATCATGCATGCGTCTTCGTATTAGCAGGGGTACATCCGTTAGCAGGTTTGGAAGTATGTTCGAAATAAGGTCCCTGTCGACAACTCCCATAAGACGTGCTGGGAGAATATATGGACCTACCAAATAGTCATTTACAATTCCAGCCCACACATTAATCGTAAACTGATCCTGGTGTCTAACCTGTATTGAACTATAGGGATTCCGATCCGCCCACAAATGTTGGTTGTGTAAATTTGTTATTCCATCTCTTCCAATTGTTGCCTCATCCGTAAACAAGACTGAAAGGGCAAAGAACGGATCGGTAGTTTGTGCAATAAACCATCGGCAAAAGTTCTCCCATGGTGAGTGATCAGAGGGCGAAAGACCCTCCCCCTTTTCAAATGGCCTAGTTTTTAAAAAAATATATTTTTATTTAATCATTAGTTTTTATTCTTTAAAACCAAATCACACACACACACACACACGCACGCATATATATATATATATATATAATTACATGATAGAAATTTTGGTTGATTTGAATAATCATTCATAGGAAATCATCGAGTCTAGAAGAATCTTCAACAGAATGCACTGGACGGACGTCTAGTCCTATTTGAGAATCACTCAGCAGTGCGCATCCACTACCGAGAATCAAGCCCGGGCCGTTACGAAACAACGCAAGCGTCATATCATTGGACCAACGGGCCTCGGTGAAGAAGAAACTAAATAATCTCAATATATCGCAGTTACTCATTAAATTCTGGTGGTAATACTCATCCAAGTATACATAATCCAACGAATAGGCCCCAAGCCGATATATATATATATATATATATATATATATATATATATATATATATATATATATATAGAGAGAGAAAGGATGAGACAGACAGATGGAGGATTCTTAAACCAAACACCCACGTACGTATGTGCAGCCTATCAAATCCTATTTTATGATTAAGAACAAACTTTCTTTTTCGATCATTGTGTGTATCTCTGACTGTAAAAAGATAAAAAAATAACGTCTGTGAGAGTATGGGAATGTGCATATATACATGCGTACAGAGCTGAAAAAAAAGAAATATTCACATATCTGTGTGCGTGTATTTGTGCTTGCGTGTGTATGTGTGTGTGCCTCTGAGTGTGTGTGAGTGCGTGCGTGTGTGTGTGTAAGAGAGGTAATTATGTACTTATATAAGAGAGGTAATTATGTATTCGAGACAAACAGATAATATTCGTAGTTACACACACACACGCACGCACACACACACACACACACACATGTATATATATGTATGGCAATCGCGCAATATGTAAACTTTCTTGATGTGTTTAAGGAAAAAGAAAATTCTAATATAAGAGGAGAGAAAAAATACAATATCATAGAGTATTATACTACGCTACAGTATCAATAAATTAAACTATAATAAGAATAAAATATTGTCGACGGGGTGGTCGTTTCGACAATGAGAATCTCAAATAAAACGTAAAGAAAGAAACATTGAAAAATGCCGGTGAATGAACTGAGAGGACATCAATGACGTCAACAATAGCAACAGCGTCATTAATAGCAATGAATGACCGAGACGTTTCCTGGCAACGCTAAACGGTAAGTCGTATACACTAACGGGCATTTTTACCGAAGTCTTTTAGATAACCCGACACGAGGCGGATAGCTGATCACCACATTCACTAAATAGATAAATATACTATAACCGGAAGTAAAATGACTAGCAGACTTCCGTTTGGAAATAAAGATTTGAGAATGTCTTTTATCGAGCCATGGTCTCAGCCTGATACTATCAAGCAGCAACCTGGACCGCTCGGATGGCGGAGCGGGAAATGGGAGAATAGTGACAACCCCAATATTCTCATGGGAAACTGGGTAGAAAACTCTTTCGATACCGAACGTCAAAGGTTACCGCCTCTATTACCTAATCAGGTGGGAGATACTTTTTTTCAATTTTTCGATGAAAAAAATCTTTTTATCTACTCTAGTGTAAATTCAGATACGTTTATGATGAATAATAATTTTTTTAACATACATTGAACAAAATTTAAATGTGCAATGAGAACTCTTTATGATTTACTTCCCTTGGATTGTACGCCAAATTATTGCTAGGATCGGTGATGGTCTAGAACGCATTTTTCTTTAAGATCCGAATTTCTTTGGTATATCAATTCAGTATTCATATATCATCATATTACAAGTTGCGATTTTAAGTATCTTAGAAAGGCATGCCATATCCATATTTTAATGCAAAATCAGAATTACAAGGTAATAACATTGCCAAATTTCTTGTTTTAGACAAGTTATAAGAAATAAAATTTACCAATAAATGTATAGTGAAATTGAATCATTACTTTTTGGTTGTATATGACGATGCATACACAGTGAACAGAAAAACAATATATTTAACAGTGTACAACGAGAACACAGTTATGAAATTAACACTGATTCCACTTAAAATCTGACTAGCTGCCTCTAAGTAGAAAAAAAAATTAAGAAACTTTTAATATCAACCTTATTGAGTGGATAATTCACTCCTAATGAATTATCTATACAAGATTAATTCTTCTTGATCTCAGTTCATATTCTACCGATAGAAGCAATTTTCTCTGTCTATAGAAATCTGTGTATGAGAGATGCTGAAAAATTTCAGACCAACCATTTTCCTCAAATCTGACAAACTGACCAAAAATAAAAATCTTCTTAGTCAAACCGAGAACTTTCACACGCACTCCTACGTGTTAATTAAATTATTGAAATAATCAAATATGCGCATATCTTTTTACAAGATTTATCATTCTATTCGAGGAAATCATTATATATATCAGTGTAAAATTAAACCACTTTTCTCTTTAATATAAGCCAAGGTTATGATTTTGGGTTATTAATTAGTTACTCGTATTATGGTAATATTGTCACCATGCCATTAAAAAGAAGGTTCATCACAACACTGATTGAATTACATGACTTTAAAAACAACTTAAAGTATTGCGTATTTTAATTCAATCACCTGAAATTGATTTTTAAATGCATTTTCACAGCTTTTAAATAATAAACTCTCCATCGAAATTCTTAAATATTTTCTTACTCAGTACATCCACTTTTAACCTCATTCACTGAAAAGCGGCTTTAAAGCTATGGGAATACTGGTTGATAAGGATTAAGACATTTACAATGACGGTAATAATCAAAATTGCTTTGTCCGAGTCGAAAATCACCTTACAATGACAGTACTTTGGTCATCTATTGAAAGAGTTGCATTCTTGAAAGAGATTTTTTTCTATAGGCGATAGTAATCAATGATTGATACATTAAAAAAGGGGCGATTTCATTGTTGAAATAGTTACAAAGTAATGTCAGGATTTCATAGGTTTATTTTCTATGCAAGCAGGCCCTCCTCGTTTGAAAGATAAGTGGAGCACAATCTTCTCTGCACTCCTCCCTAATATTTAAAAGATTTTTTACTTCAATTTGAAATCATTCGTGGGTATTACTCTCGGAATGACATTTTTATTTCCATCTATTTATGCACTTTATTTTCTGATCAGAGGATTTACCCGACATATAAGTCATTCATTTGTAATCAAAATTATATTTATTTGGATATTTAATATGCGAAAATACCCTGAAAAAACTTACATTTAATAATTAATATACCTCTTCTTTTAAAAGTAATTTCATACTTTCATCAATTTACCAGTTGGACTTGAACATTGGATCCTGGTACGATGCACGTAATACTAAATCTATTAACAAAAAGGTATTGACTCCCTTTGTAATGGCGATAGCATCTACTACAAAAATATTCTTTTTCGTTTCAGCTGTCCAACTACTTCCGAACAACATATGCTACGGATTATAACAAGAAAAGTCAACTGATCCCAGCTGAGTTGCGTATGTGGAAAGGTGCTTGATCTCATCCTCGGGTGACATCTAATCTTTTTTATCCTTTGATAGAGTGGTTCGAGATTAGGTCCTTTAGTTGAGCGGTTCGACATTAGTTCCTTTAGTTCAGTGATACGAGATAAGATTCTTTAGTAGAATGGCTCGAGATTAAAAGTTTTAATCTCAATGCGCTGATTTCGACTATTTCTTTAGCTAAAAAGGAAAAATCTTTTAAATATGGACAAAAGTTATCAAAACATCAAACATTTCTCCGTGGGACATGTAAAACACTTTAGATTATAAATTTCTAACAATCATCCATTTTAGTATTATTGTTTCAGTAAAATATCTGACCTTGCAAAGGATAAGGGAGTCTTTGCACTTCACAAACAAAATGTGCAATGTCAATCATTATCTTTTGTCTTTTTAATTCTTGCTCTTTTATTGCCCTCTCTCTCTCTAATAATGTTTTCTTTTTTCTCATATTCTCTCACACGCCTTGGGTTTTAGTAGTTTTATTGCCTTGCTTGGGGAGAAATGATTTTAAAAAATGAAACTTAGTGAAACAATCTTTTCTGATCGTTTCAAATAAATAAAAGATTTTGTGAATTTTTTTTTTTTTCGCTTGGGTATTTCACCTTTAGCAAATTTTAGACTATTCTCCTGATTTGAAAATAAATTTTGCAATAACAATAAACACGATCCTTGTCCTTTGTTATGTTTAAAACTTAAACATTTAACCAAATACACATTCTTTATCTTTTCTTTTTTTTGATGTTTTGAGAACTAGAAACTTTAAAATTTTTGTATGCATAATTACGTATGCATAAAATTTAAAGCTATACTTTTCTAAACTCACACAAGGTCGGTTTAAATTGGGGTCATACGTGTACATATAGATCAAGGACAAAATTACCCAGGTATGTCGACCATTGCTTACGCTGGCGTCGGTATCCACTAATCCCCATTCTCTTTAGTGTAATGAAGACGTTGTTATTGAAAAGTTGGAACCCACGGGATCAGGCTTCCTTCGTAACTTGAAGATACTAACTACACTTTTATCCAAGCCCAAAGGAGTCATATTGCTTGGACATTAAATACATAAAATACATTTATGAAAATAACTGGAATTATTTTGGGACAGTGTCAAGAGAAGGCGCATTTCATCTTTGGTATTTACAATTTGTACATGTCTTTGGGGTGGAGTATTAAAGCTTGAAATCTGTGGGAAACATAGATTAACAATGTTCTATGGTTCTATAAATCACTTTTTAAAATATTTAAATACATTTACACATTTTAGTTTAATTTGCAGAGAAAATTTATTTTACCTTCACTGACAAACAAAAATTGAGCATTATCATGTCACCAATATTCAAACAGCTGATGATATCTTTGGACATTAAATAGTTGTAGCCTAAAGAAACTTCCAGATAATATGTTATCTCCGTATGTACAAAAGAAAAAATAGGTTTAAATTAATTAAATGTAACGAAATTCATATATGAACACTCGCAAGATATTTTTAAATTATAATATCCCCCAAAATATACTGCTCTTATACACATATCTTTAATGAATAAAATATATAAGTTCACAAATACACACATGTGTTCATATATAAAAGTTGGATGCTCGATTAATTAGATTGAGAAAACTTGGCTTATAAAATCTCTGGGAAAAAAAATCAGTGGTGGAAGGCACACATAGAAGCTCTTTTCAAATTGCTGGCTTAATGCAAAATCGTTTCGTTAGTAACTGAACCGAAACGATACTTCAATCAGTTGATTATTCATGCGGCAAATAATATTTCATTGGGGTTAAAACGTCTCTAGGATAAATAATATTTTCTGGAATATAAAATATCAATTTTGGAAAAATATACTAAATTATTCATGTGTATCGGGACATGTATTTAACATGTAAAGTTAATTTTTAATTGAGCAAATTGTAAAACTTACAAAAATCATAATTTATTAAATAAAGTCTTTTCATTAGATATTTAATCTTGTAATATCGATTTTAATTGATAAAATTAAAACAGCAATTTTCCTCGGATTTAAATCCAGAAAATGAAAAAAGAAATGATGTTGCCTTTTCCTTCAAAGCAATTAGAATAAAAACAACCGAATCGTCTTAGCTTTCTGTGCTTATCTTTGATACATGGAAGTGTTGTTTCCATTTGGGGAACATTCAAATATCTGACAGTCACATCAAACATCACAAGTATTCAAAAAAACAGTGATCGTTTTCTTTGTTTGTAACTTTACCAACACTGAAGCAGTTCATCACCAACACGAGCTAATTCCTTCATTTCACGAGTTAATACCTCCTCAAAGGTTTACGTAAAAAAATGTTCCTCTGCTCTCTTTTCTTCTTCTTATTTTGCATATTTCGGTTGTTAGTTTTTATGACATGATTTTGGCTGAGATTTTTTAATTTAAAATTTCTTCCATAGATTTTCATTGTGGCATCCGATAACAACTGTGAGTGCCTGTAATTTAAGTAGTGTGGAATATCAGCATCTTGATTATGTCATTATTTTGTCTTCGAGTTGCATGTGATATCCATTTTAGTTGTTTCTGCTGTTGAAATTCCTCAAATGAATGGCACAGTTCTTTGTGATTCTGTAGCACCAGTTGACAAGTTTCGAAAAAGTGTAGTCTCCGCCAAAGCTCATAGGCTTCACTCACTCAAAGCCCCCTTTTAACCACTGATCTTAGAAAGTGGTTCTATACATCTGAGAATTTAGATATTTCTAAACAGGTTTGTCGCCATACATGACATCCATATGAAGTTTTCTATCTGATGAGCATTTTAATATTTAATTTAATCTATATTAATTTATATTTAAGAACGTGGCACGAGTTATTATTTTAATGTTTTGATCTTGTAGCAGTTTGCGTTGTTGAGCGAAACTACCTCTAATGTAGCCTGTTCAATTTCCTTATTTCATATGCTAAATTTGTTATAACTGATCCATACACCAAAGTATTTGTAGTATTTACTAAATCCATATCCTGAATTTTTTGATAGATTCAGGGTAGGTTCAATTACTGCTTTCATTCCAATTCCATATCATAGTTTCTGTTTTGAAAAGCTTATTTTGAATCTTATTTCTTGGAGCATTTGGTAGAAGATATTGATTTTCTGTTCAAAATCCTATCACAACTATGAATATCGTAACCCCCCTCATCATCAATAAATGTACTGAAGATGAGGGAGTTCTGCTGAGATTACATAGTTGTGATAAGAATGATTCTAAACAGAAGAGGGACGGAAAGTGGGATCGTTGTCTTCTATTTTGGTAGATTCAATATGGAATGCTTAAATGATAAGTGCCCATCTTTTCATAATTGTGTTTTTAAATGCGCATGGCATAATCGAGGTTAAATAGACCTCGTTGACGTACTCCTGATGAAGTTTGAAATGTTTCCATATTAGGATCCTCGCCACACATGTGAGGCTTGCTCTGTTAGATCGATGCATTCAGTGGATTCGGAGCTTGGAATGCGGTTTCTAATGGATTAGAAGAGGAAGTCTCTATTGACTATGGTCATATGCTGCTGTGAGGTCAACGAAGCAGGTATACAACTTCCTAATAGAGAGGTATTCAATTTCCTTGAGTTGTTTGATGACATATATAACATCATTACATCCCTTACCAGAACGAAAGCCAAATTGAATCATGAGAAGACTTGGATGAAAAGATGACAGCCTAATTGATTATTAATACTTTCACCATAATGGATCCAACTGAGATACCTCTGTATATGTTAAGATCTTGAGAGTGACTTTTAGTTTCCATAGTACATTAATGTTTGATAAGCCTCATTTTCTAATTCCAAATTTCTCTTATATAGAAAAACCTGTTATTGGATTCTTTGAGAAAATGAGCTATTTTCAAAAGTTCAGCTTCATTGTCAAATTATGTTTATTGCTCTTTTGGAGACGGTCTTTGTCATGATCGGATATATGTTGGTATATGTTTTATTTCTGTGGGCATCTTTACATTAGTGTGGTCATGGTTGAAATATGATCCAAAGTGTTTTTCGAGACCAAGATATTTCTTCTGTGTTGCTTTTGATTGTATGATGTTATTGTGATTTTTCGCAATTCTCTACATTTAAACACATTTTGTCTATGATGATTGCTTTCATTAATTTCGTTTCCAACTTTTTCCTTGTTAATTGTTTAGTATTTTCCCGTCCATTTTTCCTCTTCTGTTTTTTTTTTTCCTGTATCAATATTTTCCGTCCTACGGATGTATCTTTTTCCTTCTGCGTAACTCTTGTAATGCTTTCACGCGATTCAGATAATGATAACATTATTTGTTTCCTCTATGTTGTTTTGATCAAACTTTATAGATCTTAAATTATCTGATAATGATGGTAATAGTCCTGAAATAACCTCATTACGACGGAAATAGACATGTGATAATCCGATAACAATCGTAACATGCCTGTACAAATCCGATAATGGCGGTAATAAGCCTAAAGTAATCTTATAACGACAATAAGAAAAATAGACCTAAAATATTCCAATAACGACGGTAATAGACCTGTAATAATGCGACAACAACGCTGATAGACCTGTAATAATTTGATGAGAACGGTAATAAGCCTCATCAAACATTAATATCTCCGGTTCTGTATGCGTTTATTTCGAATTTTTCTTCACATAGATATTAGGTGTATGCGTGGACGATATAATTTTAACACATTTAATTATTTGTATATCTATACATTAAATAATATTTTTGATACATGGTCTTTTGTTTTTTCCATTCTTCCGCAAATTTACAGATCTTTACCCACGAGCATTTCCTGGGCACCAACCCGAACTGGATCCACATTATTTTCGAACATATGGACAAAAAGTGTTGACGACCTCGCAGGATTCCTACCGCAATCCTAAAGAATTTGTCAATTGGTCCACAAATCTATTGAATTTTGGCCCTGCCGGTTGGAGACCGCGATCCTTACAGCCCTTGAGTAATGTAAACTATCAAAGATCCTAACGTACTTTTAATATTTGTCTAGGAAATCATAGATTTGTCGATTTGTCTTTGTCAATCATAGATTGATGCTAATAACATGATTAATAACATAGATGGAACAATTTTAACAACCATTAGAAAAATTATCATAATCATTGCAAAAGGCAAAATAGAACTAAATACTTACATTTAGTCCTTTTTATATAACATATTGAAGGAAAAATATTTTGGACGTCTACCATCTATATCATACACTCATTCTCACTTTCTAACCAAACATCTTTGATTTTAAAATATTTCAATGAACAAAAAATAATTAATATATTTACTGACTTTCTGATGCGAACGCTTGCTCTCTAACTGAGATTTTCGTATATTTCTATTGGTGTCTTTGGTCGGTGTGCGAGTTCAGTTATAAACAAAAAGCACATTATCTTAACAAATAAAAAACAAATATTGCATCAACTGTCTAACTAAAATGTCTCAAATTTCTGGTTTTCAAATTTTAATTTGTAAAAGAAAATTGATTGATTTCCTATAATTAAAAAAACATTGTGCGTACAATAATAATAATCGTAACTGCGAATGCTTGTTGTGTTACTGAGGTTTTTTATGTATTTTCCTGTCAGAGATCGATACGCAAGTTCAAATAAAAACAAGAATTGCAAATGCTGATTGTTTCTTTTTCTTTTATTTTTTGGCGCATATATTACTTTTACAAATAAAGATAAATATTATCTTATCAAAGTCATAAGAATATAGCAACAAATTCCATCAATTTTTCTCTCTCGTAGAACATTTGAAACATTGAAAAAAATTTTTTTAACTCTGGTGAATTTGGCTTGCAAACTAATTTATACGAATACAAAACAAGCATATTGATTCATTTTGCTTAAGTTTAAATAAACTTGTAGATTTACACAGTACAAACTGCGGTTAAAGGAATAATAATAATAATAATAATAATAATAATAATAATAATAATAATAATAATAATAATAATAAACGAGATTTACATTTAATAGATTCTGTAGAAAACCAAAACAGAACCAACTGCTGCAGCCAAAATTATGAAAAAGAAAGCCAAGGATACAGCTTTTGAACAGATGAAACAACGCTGGCAAGACAAACCTCTGCATGGCCAAAATATCCAGAACGTTCCTAATAAAGCTGTTGTTAAAGTTAACAGTGGTTACGAGCATCTAGATTAGAGGCTGAAATGGAATGCTTTATTCTTGAAACTTTGCCTGAAAGTTTCTAGTGAAACTGGAAACTTTCAGGCAAATATACATAATAGTGTGGATCCAAAATGCAGATTCTGCGACAAATATCAGGAAACCATAGATCATCTCATCTCAAGATGTTCTGTACTTGCGCCAAATGAAGAAAAAATCGTCACGATAAAGTGTGGCAATATTTATACTGGTCAATGTGTTAATAAAAATTGACATGAACATCAGCCAGTACTGGTTACAGAAATAGAAAATATCGCAATTCTATGGGATTGCACCATCTTTACAGACACGAACATTGAAGCAAATAGGCTGAACATAATTGTCAAAAAACGAAAAAAAAAAACTTGTCTACTAATTGATATGGCTTGCCCAGCGAAGTGTAACATAGCAACCAAGGAATTTGAAAAACTATCGAAGTATAAAAACCTGGAAATTGAAAAAATGTGGAAATTGAAAACAAGAATATTACCAGTAATAGTAGGTGCGCTTGGAATGATAAAAAAAAGAAGAAATACAACAACATATTGAAAAATCCCTGGATATCCCAGCTTAAGAGAAATGCAAAAAATTATCTTGATAAATATTAGCTCAGACATTCTTTGTTCATGTAATGCTAATGATGTTATGGGTAGTTAGAAAAGCAAATCATGAAATGTAACTATAAGAACACATCACTACCTGCCTTAGGTCTTCCTGCAGGCTTGGTAGGTAGTGTGACCATAGCAGAAATCGAAATATAATGATGATAATAAAAAAAAATAATAATAATAAGGTCGTACAACTTGATGGAAAACACTGATAATGCAAGATCTACGGTCGAAAGAGAAAACCGTGCGGAAAAAAAGAAAATAATAATAATAATAATAATAATAATAATAATTTGTGCTAATTTTATTTTGTATTGATATATTTTTATTACAAACACGATTGTGAATTGACAAAAGTGTTTTAACATTTATTAATTTACAACTAGATGTGACAACCATGTAATTAAAAAAAACTTATTTAACAATCTATTCTGTCCATTAAATATAATGTCTTTAAACGATTTCTAAATGTACAAAATGACTTTATGAAGTGAACATCAGAAACGTCAAAACCTTAAATTCTTATTGTACATCTGAGAAAGTAATGTTGCCAGTATTGACATGAAAGAGAGTATGGATTGTTTTTACAAAAATCCAGTTTTACGCATAAGAAGCAATTTCTAAAATTACTAAAATCGTATACAAAGGCTAAAGATAACAATAATAAAATATAGTCTCTCAGATATTAACTCTTGCAAAACATTACACATAATAATCGCATTTAAATAAGTAGTTAACATTTGAGTATTGTAGATTTTACAAGCACTAAAATTGACTGTTAAAGAGATATGAATGAAAACACTCATGATCTTGTTACTAAGTTCAGATCAATACTCGAAATACTAATAAATTATATCTTTACGTGATGAACTGCAATCATGCACTTAAATATGTGTCATACTGCCTGAATTAGAGGACATCAAAATTCTCTAAACGATGCAGGAAATTATCAAAGTTCTTCCAGGTCTTGTGTTCACTACCTAAAATAATAAGCAAGAGTTCACATTTTCAAAGTATTGTTGGACATATAGATTATTTAGTTGCATATATACATTGTCCAAGATCATCACGTTCTCGCTCTCAGTGTAGAGAAATGAAAAAGAAACATGATGTTTGATTAATTTAATGTTTTTACGACAAAACAGCTTCGATAGCAGTTGACTCGGTTTCTTTTTTTAATGTCATGTTCCTTTAGGATATATGCGATCCTCTTCAAATTTCTATAACTTCTTGTGAAATATAGTGAATTTTTCCCGTTGTTTGATTTTTCCATAGTTTTATTTAGTTCAAAGTAGTTGTTCAACTAGTGTGTTTGCCACCCAATTCTACAGACTCCCATCCTGTCCACCGTCCTATTAAACTTATACCGAGGGGTGGGGAGAGCCAAGTCTTTCCCAAGAAGATTTGTGTGAAATGAATGCAACAAAATAGGCCAGAAATCTCGCTGATTCCACTTTCTCCGCCAACAACCGTTACGCTAATCAGATACAATCATTAGATTGTTATATAAAATTTAGTGCTATTAATACATTTTATATCAATCACCCACAACGGTAATTTATATAGCACTACTTTTTATATTATTTGACTACTCGAAAGATATATGATATTTTCTTCACTCCAGATGGATCATTGTTACAGAACTACGTACGGAATGGAATACAATAAAGATGGTTGTCCAGTCACAGAAGCGCATCATACATGCCCAGGTAATTACAAGTATATTTGACAACCATCGAACTATTTATTTTAAGTGTAATGTTTTGACAATCAACAATCGTGGTTCGTTTGAAGAGTGAAAATGATTTCTTTAGGTAAATCGGTTCATGTTAAAAGATTTTACTCAACAGAACGAATCATCAGTCCAATGCACTTTAGATAATTTTTATTTTGCTAACACAAAACGTTTTTAAGCAATTAGAATAGGATAACATTTGCTCTTTGTTTTTATATGTTTTTGTATGTTGCTGAAAACAATTCTTAATATTTTATTTCTCAGAAGTCATTTAGTAAATTAATTTAACTTCATTCGTCAAAAGATAATTGAGATATAAATTAAAAGCTGCAATTTCATTGCAAGTTTATGTTTTGACGAAAAGAAATATGTCAAAAAGGAATTGTGTTAAAAGAAACTGACATGCGGCAGAATCACAAAACCAAGATTGATAAAATTGACTATTTCCCACTTGAATTATTTAGTTTCAGCTAAACTGCCTTTGTGCGCCTAGACTTTGATATATGCAGTTTAATATAAATTTGATGGAAACTATATATAGACTATATTTTAATTTACTTGTATAAATGCATCTACTTATTCAAGAATCTATTAACTTTTATTGCATTCATATATCGACCGATGCATCTTGATTTATACGTTGAGTTTTATCTGATTTAGTAAATTGTGTTAGTAAATTAAAATCTTTTACTTACTATCCAGTTTTTCTTTAAGTTTCTCGATTTTTTCATTTTGCTTTTAAAATTATTCTATCTATTTTCTTTCTTCTATGAAAACATAAGGCAGAAATTCCTTATAACATGCAGTTTAGTATTATAAACAACTAGATGATGCAATATAATAGGAGAAATAAGTAAAGCAATTATTATGCTCTGGATGCATACATTTACTTAAAATTTACATAGGTGATATATTTTTATATGAAGCTGACACATTTGATTAGGCATCCGTCAGTTTCGGAGGACTATGGAATTGTGCTCTGCGCCAGCCACAATGTCTAACTGCTGTTTCCCTTTTTCCCTACGAACAAGGCCTGAGAAGGTAGATATTGAGAACAGACTTTTATCTATGCAGTAGATTTCTCTTCTCTACTTCGCTTAAATGGTCCAATGTAAAGGTAAATCGACAGCTACAAATAAATTCTCGAGCATACAATGCAGAATAAAATATTTTTAAAAAGTAAAGATGGAAAAAAATACTTGGTTACTCTTAAAAATTTATCCTTTTAAGAATTGCTATTTAAAAATGTCAGTCTAATTTTTTGTGCATTGGTATAGAAACATCTGGAATCTTTCAGTAATAATTCACTAGGGTATTCGCAACTTCACCTCTCAAAAAGGATATCATAGATGAAGTAAAGGCGCTATTAAGCAAAAAGAAAAAAAAAAAGAAAAAGGGAATTAGGGTTATAAAATTAAGCTACATAATGAAAGTTTGGATGTTAAATATCCTTGTCCATACATA